GAGGTCTTTGTGTCTTCACCCTGTTTCTTGAACTCAGCTTGCTGTTTCCAGGGGCCCTCTCTTGGCGCCCTTGTCTGTGTTGCTCACAGTGGCTATTGGCTAGCAGATCGCTCCCCCTCCCAACAATGGGTCAGGTGCTGAGCTCTTATTTGGTGGGCAGGCGGGTCACTCCCCCTCCCAATGCTGCAGTCAGATGCTGCACTCGGGTGAGGCAGGTGGGTGGATTGCACCCCCCCCCCAGCACCATGGTCAGGTGCTGCTTCCTGCCAGGAAGGCAGTTGGCCACCCGCCCTCTCCCGTCGCTGGTCGCTCCACTGCTCTGTGCCACTGCCCGCTCTGCCTCGGGTCAGTGCTCTGAAGGCGGGCTCCAGGAAGGCTGTGGAATGGCCCTGCCCCTGCTCAGCTCCTTGTTTGTCTTGGCGCGAGTTCTCTGAGGTGCTAGGTCAGAAAGATCCTATCTGCCTCGGTCTGTAAACAAGTCTCAGTCCTGCCTAGGAGGTTGTGGAGCCCCCAGGTGCGGATTCAGGTCTCGGCCCCACCCCTGCCTGGGAGCTGTGCACAGGAGATTGCGGTTGTGGCTGTGCCCTGCCTCTCTTCTCACGAGAAGCCCCAGTAATGGCGGTGTGGGTCTGAGGAGACAAAGGCTACGGCGCCCCTCCACCCAGGGCACATCAGCCGTGTTGCTTTGCTTTTTTCACAATTTATGGGGGACTGAGGTGGTTCTGCTCCATATCCCCTCCCAGCCACGGTGTGCAGCATCCTGCAGTCCCTGGGGCTGCCTCAGTGCAGCCACCCCAGTCCTCCACCTGGCTCGGGCAACCCGGCCTGGCCCCCAGCTGCCGGCTCGGGACTCAGGCTGGGTGTCGCTGGGACCCTCTGTGCCCTTTTAACTTAGTTCTGTCAGTCAAGGGCTGCTCCGTACAGATCCGAGCCTCGGAGGCTCCCTCTCTGTCCCGCTGGCCTCTCCATTGGAGAAGGGAGACCCAGCGAACGAGTGAGAGTCCTCCTTTGCTGCTCCCTCCCCGCGGGACCAGTCCCGCACTGTTCTGCTTTTTCTTGTTTCTTTTTTCCTTTACTCCTACCAGATTTTTGGCATCTTTGTCTTTCGAAGAGGGCAATGTTCTATCTTTCGCAGGTGCTCTGGTTGGCTGAGTGGGTCTGTAGATGTGAGTTTTGGTGTATTTGTGGGAGAGGGTGAGCTACAAGCGTCCTTCTACTCCGCCATCTTGCTTCTCTCTCACAACTCTACTTTTGAATAAAAAAATTATAATTTGTAAAAGTTGGCAACTAATTCAAAACATTTTAAAACACTGTGTGGGATGAACATATGTTTTGAGGGTGTATTTGGCCCAAGGGGGACTGGTTTGGGATCTCTGGTGTAAAAAGAGTTGTTCCCAAGGCTGGCTGTAGATCAGAATCGTTGGTGGAGCTTAAAAAACACAGATGCCCGGTCCCCTGCCCAGACTTGCCGAGCAGCATCTCTGGGGGTGGTGCTGAGTCTCAGCCACATTTAAAAACCACAAAAACGAAGGACTGGTTGATGGAACATTTACTATCCATAAAACTACGAAATTCCAAAATGATCACAATACAGGGAGTCAGAAGAGAAATGAACAAGTGGTCCTCATGGAAGAACAAAAATGGTGAAGACTTAGGAATACTTTATTAAATGCGTTCTTCCATACTTCAGATTTTGTTTTTGATCTTCGTAGAGAGCTGTGCATTCCAGTAGAGTAGCCACTAGCCATGTGCAGCTACTTAAATGTACATTAATTAAAATTTTAAAAATTCAAAATTCAGGTCACCCCTTGTTGCACTAGCCACATTTCAAATGCTGAGTAGCCTCATGTGGCTTGTGGCTCCTGTAACAGATGGTGCAGGTATAGAATGTTTCCAATGTTGCAGGAAGTTCTACTGGACAGCTGTGGTATAGAGATTATATATGAAAATCAAGAGAACTCTGTAGATTTTTAAACTATTCATGTGGAATTCTGATAGTTTTAGGGAATAGTAATTGTTAGTACAGAATAAAACATTTCTAAGTTGGTCACGTTAGATCTATGCCCTTAAAAAGAGTGAAGCTTACCCTGATGCAAATTAATCAGCAGATATGGAGATTTTTTTTTTAGTGCAAAAGTATTCATGCAGTCATTGGGCAAACATGTATTCAGTACCTTCTATGAGCCGAGCACTCTGCTTTGTGTTTTTAAATTATTCATAGAATTGAGTAAGTTTTAAAAATTGGCTTGGGCAGGGTCCAAGAATTACATTCTCAGGTATAAACATTGCCTTTA